ATAAAATATGAAAGGGTAATCTAAGTGATGGAGTCTCAAAAACAATTAATGAAAGGTGAAGACATAAAGTAAAAATAGGTGAAAATGTACAAAAAAAAATAATATTAAGAATCTTGACTTTTTATATTTTGATTTAGGACATTTTAATTACAATCTTCATATGTGAATAGCTGAGAGGAAATAAAGGGCGGTAGATGACATATAATAAAAAAGGGGTGCCATGTTTGGACAGGCAAGGAGATATAGCTTGAATAGAATTAGAACATTCATTCCCTAACGAGTTGTTGTAAGAAAGAACAAAATGAAGAAATATAAGGATATATACCAAAATAATATAATAGGAAGAGAAAGTACCAAAAGAAAGAAGACAAATGAAGGATAGTGGGATAGTAGAATAGAGATGGAAGAGATGTAGAAATATGAGAAGATGTACTTACATAATATAGGGAGTCAAGGTGAAATGGGAAGAAAAAAAATTAATGAAATAATGTAGGATAAATGATGAATGTAGACCTTAAAACTTATAGAATTTATATGTATTTTAAAGCATGCCTTATTTAATGGCATATAGTTAAACATTAGTCTTAGTAAATTAACAATCAATAAATTAAGTATTAATCTCCCAATTACATGAAAATGAATAAAATTAAGATTGTTGTATCATTAAATAAAAAGTAGATTTTTCATCATATTATAATTAATAATTATCATAAATACTCAATATAAACAAACTGTGCCTGACGCTGATTTGGTGCCTAGTTTAAATTTTAAAAGAGATTAAATCAGAGTTAATTTTTCTTTCTTGTACATAGATATCAGTTATATTGGAAATTAATAGTATAATATATACTTAGTATAACTCTCTCTTTTTTTCTTTTTTCTTTTTTCTTTTTTCTTTTTTTTTTTTTTTTTTTTTTTTTGTGAAGCCCCGCCTAGTGGCCAAGTGACAAATATGCTATTATGTAAAGGATATCTCCCATTAAGGTGTAAGGTTTGAACTCCACTCCCCCGCTTGAAATCCCGTTCTTTATTTCCCCATGTTTGTGAAAAGATAAAGACAAAAAAATAATTAAAAAAAAACTCTCCTATTTTTCACAAACCGATAATCATACAGTGTTTTTTTGTACATAAAGTTGACTTATCCATTGGGAAAGGGCAATGAACTGACGAAGATAAAGGGAAGTGAGGCGAGACATGACCTCACCACGCTCATGGTGGCTTAAGGATTTCAGGATCCCCGCTTATGGTCAATCCCGTCGGCTGGCGTCCTCGTCAAAATTTACACATGCAATCTTAGCTGTATTCTTTGTGGCGTCCAGACAACCCACGCTCGGTCAGCGGTTTGGAACATACCCCCTTTTTTGCAGTCAAATTCTTAGAAGCATCGCTATCATTATGTTTCTTGGGTAACAACCGATTTTGTAGTGTGATCCTCTCCTAATCTCCTTCATCGCACCAAACTAAATATGTGCAGGACATCAATTTGATAATATGTTTAGTTTGAGGTGAAATGGGCCCAGGGAGAGGAGAGATTTTTAATTTTTATTAACAAAGAATTTAAAAATGAAGGAGATTTGAGGGAGAAGGGGAGAGGAAAATAAAAAGATATAAAATGATATGATAATTTTTTATTTTTATTCTTTCTTTTCAAATTAAATATATTATTAGTGACAATGATCTCTTGATTAAAATAAAATATAATTCAATAATAATAAGATATATAAAATGCAATATTAATTAGTTAAGTTCTAATACAACTTAATTTTAAATTTTGTTTTTGAGCATGAGGAATTGGCAGTAGGGGTATTTTTCATTTTTGAAGTCCTTCTTGCGAGTAGAACTCTCAATCTAGAATTCCCACGTGAGCACTTAAGATTAGTGGTGAACCATTAAGCCATTCAAAACTAGTTCAATACTTTTTTTATGAAACAGGGTACATAGTTGGAATACTTATGGAGGATAGGAGTGTAGAGAGGGAATGAGTATTGAAACCTGACTATATGGGTAAAAAAATATTTTTTTATTAATAATTTAAACAATTATTCTACAAACATTCTTTAAAACTAATTTGAAACTTAATTTCGA